GGCTATTCTGGTCGGCTGCTGGGGTCATTCTGGTCGGCTGCTGAAGACGTTTGGCTCTTCTATCATCAGGCTCCGAGGAGAGCCGTTTGAGCGGTCGAAGCAACGAATCTGAATAGTAGTGTCGAAGAGCAGCTTTGCCCAATTGCATTATATATTATTATAGTAAGTATATTTATATCTATAGATCGATAGATAAATAGATAGATGGACAGATAATTTTAGATAGAATAGATCGAATAGACTAGAATAGAATAGACTAATATAATGGATAGATAAATAGATAGATGGCCAGATAATTAGATAAAATAGATCGAATAGAATAGAATAGAATAGACTAATATAATGGATAGACAGATGGATGGATGGATGGATGGATGGATCAATAGATAGATAGACAGATAGATAGATATAGATAGATAGATGAATTGATAGAATAGATCGAACAGATCGAACAGATCGAATAGATGGAATAGATCGAATAGAATAGAATAGTTTATTTTTTAAATAGATAGCAGATAGATAGATAGGATAGATAGGATAGGTAGGATAGGTCGGATAGATAGGATAGATAGGATAGATAAATAGATAGATAGATGGATAGATAGATAGATACACAGGTGGATATATAGATAGATAGATGGACAGATAGATAGAATAAATCAAATAAATAGAATAGAATAATATAGATAATGGATAGATGATAGATGGATAGATAGACAGACAGACAGGCAGATAGATAGACTCAAGAAGAAATCCGCGAGTAGATAGAACTGTCGTTTAGGAAAAACCGATCCCAATTGTAACTGACTGTCTCCAGTATTCCCAGTTCCTTGATGGATGGCCTTGTACATCAACCATGTACATCCTGACATGTACATGCTGGCATTGCTTGGTGTTTCTGACATATAATACGTGTTGCTTTGGAGTGTATTGCCCTGTGTCAAAAGTTTGTCGTTCCTATTCGTTCCTTCCTACCTATTCCTCCAGTTATACTGTTTGGCTAGCGGCCAGCTTCAAATTTAGCACCAGCGACTTCCTCAAGCGACTCCTCCGCGACGTTGAGACCGTATGGCCCGAAGCCTTCGGGCCGCCTCTCGGCAGGTGCTTTGAGTCGATGACTCCGAGAACAAGACCCCAGCTCTTGCAGCATTGAGATGCGTTTCCGTTTCAAGGGGAATTAGCACCAAAGTTCGTTGGAGAGCAGTGTCCCAACCTGGGAATGCTTGCGAACTGGAGTTTGGGCCGAGACCTTTGTCTGTAGAATGTAATAGTTAGTACGTAGTAGTGGTGGTTATGTTGAGCAATGTTGAGCACAAGAGTTGGCTGCAAGAGTGATCAAAGAACTTGAACATGAATCACACGTATCATATAGTAAAACCTCTTTCTGTTCTATAGTGACAGTTCCTGTAGTTGATAGGACTCAACGTCATACCCTGAGAGAGATTCATTTCTTGGCCCATTGGCTTGAACTGGAGATCAGAGTCGACCGAGTCTATCGCTCGCTGGACGTGGAAAAAGAACAAACACAGATTGCAGTCACAGCATATTACAGCTGAAAACTGGGCAGTTTGTTATGATGAGCTTCGCGGTTGATGTTTCTACATGGGGCGGAATCCAAGGCCTAGGCATCTTCGTGTCGGGCTGAAGGGCAATCCTCCCTTCTTAAACGAAGAGGTTTTCAGCTTGGCTCGAGCCCAAGAAGCAAGCTCAATGGATAGCACATAGGTGCAGGTATACTTGAATACCCCTTTGATGCCAGCTGCAGAGCCCATAAACCACTGAGGTGAGAGAAAATGCCGTGCACACACACACACATCAAAGAGTCCAAGAGAGGTCGTCGGAACAGCGTGTGAAAGCTAAGGTTGAGACCGATAGCTCCTTCTGGATGATAGAGGCACCGCGGAGATGTTGCACAGATGTTGCCAGCAAAACGAAGAAGGAAGATCTGAAGCCGTTGAGAGGTTGAGAGCCCGGCTGAAGAGGTTGACAAAGTAGTCAAACGAGTGGTCTTTCATGCCGAAACTGACGTAAACAGAACAACTTGGCGAAGCGAAAGCAGCCAGCCAGCGAAGGGAATCTCCCTTTAATCCACCAGAGATCTCCTGTGTCCTCATTCCACAAAGAAGATCAATGCCACAAAACAATGAGCATCAGTCAAAATCCACTCCAAAGTTTGCGATTGGATGTGGAACATTCGCATTCACATCTAACACATTCACACAGTGCCTTTCCACATGCGCATGTTTTGATCTCATCCGGAGGATGGCGAGCTGCACATCCAACTGCAAAAGGTCCACAAGGCGCGTCCAGCCCATGGTCTCTACTGACAGGCGCCAGGAAAGATGAACACCATGGAAAGACTATTTGGCAGAACTGGGAAGATTTCGGTATACTGTAGAACAATTCCAAGCTGTTGAAGGAAAGGGGGAAAGGGAAATCAGACCCTGACCTACATAATGTCATTAATATCTATAGATACAGTGATACTCCCGTAAAATGGGAGTGGTAACCTGACGCAAGGTTCTTGTCATCTCGTCACTTGACAGCCTGCCCCGAACTGGGCAGGGAGAAACGTGGCATTCGGCCTTGAAAGGCATGGGGGTCCGGAGTTCCAAATGGGTCGGCTGCATTTGATCGCATGTCGCATGGCATGGGTGGCAGAAGGAAGACCTTTGCAGTTCAGGCTCTTTGGCCTTTGCGTCTCTTGGGCCTTACAAGCTTAGTCTGTTTATCTTCTAGAACGTACACAGACAAGTGGACCGGTTTCGCTTCTGCGTGCCACGGGCATCTCCAGAATCGACAGGTCATGGTCAGTTGGACATGTTCTCCGAGCAGGAGATCAACAAAAAGCTCATGCTGGAAAGATTCCAGGACTGAGCATCAATTAGTCGACCTTGGACATTGTCTTTCTGCAACATGTTCCCAGAACTGATGAGATTTGGAGGAGGAACATCCTGGCTTTGACTTTTCGGGTGCGAGCTTCAGCGGACAGGCTCCTTCCGTGCCCTGGCTGCGAAGGACACATGCTTCCATAGTAGGCTTGCAAGCTGGATAGGCTGGGTGGCCGAAATCTAGGTAGACTAGGTGGCTGATAGTGGATGGGTTTGGGGGGAATTCAGATGGCTAGATAGGGTCAGGTCATTCCCCCATAACCTGCGCACTCGCGGCTGGTTGCACCATCCTGAGCAGTTGAGATTTACATCCCCATGTTCGGTGAGCTACCATTGTAGTTCGAAGAGTGTGATCAACCGCGATCAGCTGTTGCCTTCAAGCTGATTCAATCTGCATCACATCCTGAGGCTCGCACCTTCATGGGAGGCATTCATGCGGATCCGCAATCCCTTACATAGTCTTCAAGATGCTTCAAGGCTAGGCAAGTTACTACATAGACATCATAATCATACTGCATAAGGGAAAAACAGAGAGACATTTGCTTCATGTCGTCACGAAGTCTGGGCTTCTCTCGAAGTCTGGGCTATGCAAGAGACAAGAAATTTTTACAAGAGCCTTAGCCTTAGCCCGATATTGGGCGGCATGTCCCAGGAATTTGAGAAAGACCGCAAGCAACGAGTTTGTTGAGCGACAGCAGTGCTCGGCAAAAAGAGATCCAATGCTCGACGGCAGTGTGGGCGCACGGTTGGTGGAAACCGGAGAATCATCAGTTTGGAGCGAAAGCGATCTGTAGTAGAAGTATGTAATGGCATATGTAGGGTGCAGGGTGAACATCTTTGGCACAGAATAGTAACAACATTTAAACCGTTTGTAACGAACATGTTTGGTCTTTGTTTGTTTGTCATTATTCTTCTCTCAGGGTTTGGTGCCGCGGGGACTAACGCCGGCAGATCCTGAAAGATTCAATGGCATCATGACAGCGTTTGATGATATCATGAGGGGTTATCCAGCGCACTCTTGTAAACCACCCAGTCTGGCAAGGCCTGAACATGAGTGAACGCTTAGTGAACGCCCCAAATCCATAGTGCTGTGGTGAAACAACATACGCTAAACGCCGCGAAAAGCTCCAGCTTTTGAAGGAATGACTCCTGCCACCTGTTGGTACCATGGGATGTTACGTAAAGGAACTGGCAGGGCTTGTCAGCCTTCAACAGTGCTGTAGTGCACACTGATTGGACCCTGGGTTCTGCACTCCCTGAAATAAGCAGAGAAGTGGAAAATGGCCCCTTGGATGACCATTTTCCTTATGAACAGGTGGTTGTCCACTTGCATGTAGAGGATACCAAATCCATCCAAATCCTGCCTGCCTGTTTCAATCAAATAATGCACACACACTGCTGTCGCGATCCATTCTGGCAGATCCTCTTTTCGAGGGTGTGATTCGAGGGAGAGAAGTTTGTTTCTCAATTTTTTTCAGCATATCCACAGCATCCATGTGGGATTCTGCCCATCAACCTTATCAAGTTTGGTTGGGTTTAGTCAGTTTGGTCAGACTGCTCGTGAAGGAGTACTTCATGAGTCATGAGTTTTTGGCGTGGATTGCCAGACCAACGTCTCCCGAATCAAGGGAAATCAAAGGTCCAAAAATCATTTCCTCAATACTGTAGACTTTCGATTTAAAACCACTTCCATATGTGAAGAGGCTTTACAATCCAATGGGGGGTTATCCATCAAGAGTCACACATCACCTGGCCGAGTTCCTGGTAGCTGAGTTGTTTCCTCCTGTGTCCCAGGCGACCCAGTAGCTAAGTAGCCCTTACTGTAGCTGTTGAGGGTAGCCGATCTATGTCCAGTTGGTGGATCCCTCAGGGTAGGTCTCGTGAGCCTCGTGCAAGACTCTCATGTTGGGATGGGTGATGGGCTCAGACTTGCACGGCTCAAATGCAGGTTTGCAACCATTTTCAAGCCTAGCCCTGCCCAGCTCAAGCACATGCCAAGCCCAACTGCAAGTGCCAGGCTCTTCTTGGATCTGTAAACGTCCAGAACCTCTTTCATCTCATCAGTTTAGTTACAGTCCGCAATTCGGTTGTTCTCTACCAGCCTCACCTCCAAGCCTCCCAGAATCTGCCAAGACCCTACGGAGACGCCCCTCGCCATGGCGCGAGCCCTGCTCGAGCTGCTGGCGCCCAGAAAAGATAGCGCTCGTGGGGTCGATTGATGACGCCCCCCTTAGCCGAGACATTGCTATCGCATCCGGTGCCCAGAACTTTTGAGGATGGGAAGCTCACATTTCATCGTGCCTCGTTCAGAAAGTGTTTATTGAGGAATGGAGGTGGGAACCAGAGGCAGAGAAAAAGGAAGGATTCAGGCGGCCTTTGTTTCCGCGGGCACTGTAGACTGTGGTTTAGTGTTTGACCATTTTTAACAATCCAGAATCACGTTCCACAGGTTTAACGGTTTAGCCACTCACATACCTCTTCCATCCACCGGCCCAGGCTCCCCTGAGGGCTCCGCCACGCGGCAGAAGACGGGCAGCATTGAGCGCTTGGAGCGCTTCGAGCGCGCGCGCGACCGGAGTGCAAGCCGCAGCTCCTTGGGAAAGAAGGCCTCCCTGGCGGCGTCCCTGGCGAGCGAGGAAGGCGTGCGACCCATCCGCTCACAGTCCGCTCCCTCGATGTTCTTCCACAGTGATACACAGCTCCTTGGATGGTCAGGAGATGAGAAGAAAGCTGACGTTTTCCGCGCATGCCATGCATGTTGGTCGCCGATTTCTGGTCAAACGCCCGATTTGTGATCGTTATGATGCATAATGCGGAACCGCTCGAAAATACATCCAAATGGTTTGCTCCCACGGTTCCTTTTCAAGAATCGAAGAAAAGCATCTAAACGTTGATGTGTCTCAACATTGGAAGCCGATGCCTCAACACTAGACTATACTATACTTACAGTACTCAAAACCATGTCGCCCATGTCCAATATATTTTGAGTCAGACTAAAGATGAGTGGATGAAGAAAGAAGCTACTAGTAACAAGTGCCACGCTAGTAGTAACAGGTGCCACGCTAGTAGTAACAAGAAGCTAGTAGGAACAAGTGTATCGACAGACGTCCACGTATTGGACGTCGGTCCCGTGCGACGTCGCTCAGGCCCGAGAGCTTGTATCGCTTCCCCTCAGCTCCACAGAACAAGCGAGGAGCCAAAAGCTCCACTGACCTTGCCTCTTGGATGACGGATGGTGAGGGTGAAGAAACTTATACTGAAAGAGTTGGGCATTCCAAAAGAAATCAAAAGAACATGTACTGCAGCAGCTGCACTGCAGCATGCAAGATGACTGGTAGGTCCCACTACTTCTGGTAGTTCTCTTATCTTCCACGATCTCCAGCTATCTCCAGATGCATTGATCATTGATTCACCACCCCAGATCGAAGTGCAGCCCTTGACCGCCGCCGAGCTGAACCACTTGGGCCGCATTTTACAGGGCCAGTTTGGTCACTTGGAGGCGCCGGGCAGAGCAGCATGTCATGACGGGTTGGGCAGAGCATGTCAAGGACCCAACCCAGTAGATACAGTGGTGGTGCCCAAGCCGACAGCTTTGTGCTAGTTTGACGACAATGTGGGAATGCACCACACTTGGACATGCTGGGATATCCTCCTTTCTTTTCGGAATCGTTCATGTTCATTTGTTATGTGATTCCTCAAAGTTGTGCAGAGAAATCTCGGATCGGTGCGGCAGTGGCCATTGGTGCCAATGTTCCGTTGTTCCTGCCATCAAAGGTTCAGACCTCCAAACCTTTTAGAAAGGGCCTTGGAAACAAAACGCGATGGTCAAAGAAACACTTCACTGCACTGCTGGAGGATGAGGTCATGTTGGCACCTCCAACTCCAGCTCATGGCAACAGGAGCGCAGATGTGGATGGGGGCTTCAGACAATGAGAATTGTTCATGGACACACGTGGACACAGGTGCGATCAATATATTGTAGCAATAGCGAGTTATGTATTTATATATATGATATACTATGTGTGTGTTTTTTTTACTTTACTAGAATTGCAAATGTACAGTACATCCTTACATGTTGCATGTCGTTGACATGGGTTCTCTACACAGCACACGGCCACAGCCGTGGGTCGCCGTGGGTCGCCGTGGGGTCGCTGCGGTCGATGAAGCCAGGACTCCAACTCCAGCGCCGGAGGATTTTCCAGACTTGCATGCCGATGGGAAGAAGCAGGCATGTCAGTTGGGTGTGGTTCTATGGTCATACTGAAGGGATCTGAAGGGCAGGCAAGTGGTTCCGTGACATGAGGATGCCAATGATCAAAGGACGGGCCAAGCTAATGATCGTGCACTACTTTTGCATGCCATTCCATGATACTCCATGCTTTGCAACAACACAGCGTCACAGTGGGTTGCTTTTATTGCCCTGTCGCGCAACACTAACACTTTGTCTAATACAGTTGTGGTGCGGCACTTCATGAGATGACGGCACTCTCATGATGCTGGAACCGAATCAGATATAATCAGTGCAGATTATATTATCGACAGGGTGTCCTATTCGCATTTATCAACTTATCATGCCAAGTACATACCCTTCCCTCAGACCGCCGTCTTCGGAAGCAGTTCAGGGACCACTTTGTTGTTTTGGAGGGTCGTGCTCATCCTGTTCATTTTCTAGCCTTCTAGCGCAACCCCGTTGTTTCACATGTGACGCATCACAGCCTATCGTTGGCAGGGCTTCATCCACAGACTTGCCACCCGCCTGGGATAATGCCGACGGTGGAAATTCCAAAGGAAGATTGGACACAGTTTTGACAGACAATTTGGCTCTGTTGATTTGTGCAGGTCTATTGCTTTTGCTCCAACATTAATTAAAAACAACAAAGTTTTTGGGAAGGCAAAGCAATCCTCGTAACTTGGGGTGGCTATGGCGTGTTGCTTTCCTTCCCTTCGATCTACACCTTCAGAAAAGCCAGGCGTCCCTTTTCTTTATGCAAGTCCTAGATCGTAGTGGGCACCACCGGGCCTGAACGAGTTAAATTGCCAGAAAGAATGCCAGAAGAGATGCCAAAGTTAAATAGATTGTCAGAAAGAATGTCAGAATGTATGCCAAAAGAATGTCACAATAGACGCCAGGAATAATGTCAGAAAATATGCCAGATAGAATGCCGGAATATATGCCAGGTAGAATCCAAGATAGAATGTCAGAACGTAAGCCAGAAAAATGTCCGGCTGAATGTGAGAAAGAACGTCAGAATTTATGCTATGCAGATAGAATGCGAGAATATACGCCAGATAGAATGCCACAACATACGTATGCCTGATAGAATGCAAGAATAAATGCCATGATGGGGATCACTCGAAGTAACGTTATTTTTGGCAACTATTTTTTTATTTTGGTTCGGCAGTTGACGTGTCCTGGCACTAAAGTTTGGGGCGGCTGGAACCCACCGGTTTTTTTGTTGCACTGCTTGGCCTGGTATGGCCCATAGTACGCTGGCTTCACTCCCGGTGGCATGGGTACTGGACGACCAAGGTGTGTACACTCCCATGCCCTGTCGTGGGTAAACGACCCTTTGGACGGTTGGACGTTGAAACCCATGATCGACGTGCTTGGTACCCAGTATTGCACCCCTGTTGCGACGTGCTTGGACATTCTGCAAATGATCAACGCACTCAAGGCCTCATGGACATTTTGCCTGACAACCACCGGGTGTTCAGCAAGTGTTTGGCTGGGTGGTCGTTTGCCAGTCTTGCAAGAATGACTGAGCAGTGCTGAACCCATGCTGATCGAGGCTGACAGCCAATGCTTTGTCAGTGGATTCATGATCCTGACCATTTTCGCGCTCTTCGCGCCCGATTTGGATCTTCTCTTGGGAACGGTGCAGTCGCAACATTCTCTCAGCCGCATGGATTTACTTTGAGTCGGTGATGATGTCAGCTTGGGCAACTCTTTAGATTTTGGAAAAGACTCTTGCCTCAGAGGCCGTTTGCCGCTAATTGCTTACTTTATTCATGCTTGCATGGACTTGTTGTAACTCCATTGTTTGTCGCGTTGAAACTGCCAACCACATGACCAAGTCTGCAGCCATCCGTGTTAGGCCTGGTCATGACCTTCGCTTGCTTCTTGTTTGTGGTTGAGATCATTGTGCAGAGTATCGGCAAGGAGGGGTAGCTCGGTATGATAGTCGTGGTGGTCGTCGAGTGCCACGACCATGTGGCACCCTTGTTGGATCCCCAGACTCATTCATTCTAAGCAGCCAGACTGAGAACTGCATGTTTCTGAACTATGTCAAAAACAATGAAAACAACATCAGCTGCTTAAACTGTACCTACCAGGGTCCTGAGCAAATCCTTGGCTCTGTTCTTTGCCCGCTCCTATGTCATCGGAAGCGCCGTTCACTGTTCCTGGATGGCCCAAGGTATCTTTTCCGAGCCTATTTTTGGTTGGACGTCATTGCCCTCATCTCCTTGCTGCCGGATACATGGCTCTTCAGGGAAGTCTTCGAGAGCAACCAGGACCGCGGCGTGAATTCGGAGGAGAAAGCACGTCCCCATTGTCCAAACTGGACAATCATCATCTACAATATGGGCTCAAAAATACTCTGCATCATATTCCACATGGATCTACATTTCGCGTTCATGAAGGCCAAGTTATTTATGTCGAGCTCATGACAGTTGAACCGGAGACCCCTGACATCTCAAAAAGAAGTCTCGCTCCAGTCGGTGGGGGCCAAACTTGTTGCTGCACCATACAGTGATCCGTGACCTTTGATGCATGTGCCCTCACCCGAACAAAGATGAAATATGTCTAATTGATAAGTTCCAATTCCATGGATCAATGTATAGTAGTACAGTATAGTTATATATCATGTGTATATAGATATATAATGTAATACAATTCCCTCGGGATACCCGCCTTGAGTGCCCTTGAGGCCTTTGTTGCTGGGCGCTCCTCACGCCTGGCGCGGCTCTTGCGGATCGCCTCGCGGTCTTCCAAGGCGAGCGCCGACGCGCCGAGCGACGCCGATGCGACGGGACGTGCAACAGGTGGGCTGCGTCGGGAGAAGAGGCCAGAGATGGCCAGAGGTTTGGTTTGGTTCTTTCTTCCCCAATTGAGAGCCGCCAGAGTCTCCCTTTTTGTTCAGATTTCGTCAAGTTATCCTTTGAGGGAAACTTTGGAGATACCTGCCATTGCCTTTCAATTGGAGACCAAGACCTATTCTTAGGCCTGTTCATGCCTGCAATGCTTGAGTTCACGGTGCCAGGCAACACGGCTGAACCGCCTCACTCGCATCGTCCGGGTTGCGGCGCTCATGCCACGGCAACACGGCGTGAACACCAAAGTGGAAGAAGATGTGAAGAGAGAAAGGGGGAGAGGGCTCCAAATGCAGCCCCCAAGCAATTTGAGTTAAGTATTGGAGGTGATAGATTTTTGAGAGACATCCCTTTGATTAATGTGTATATATATATTTATAGGTGAAAGGGGTGGTCTCAAAGCACTCAGAACCATGACTCCAGGGAAAAGGACCATGAATGCTCATAGTTTGAATGATACGAGACCGGACTAGCGGGTTGCCCAGACTTGATAGGGAAGGTGGATCAAAACATAATCACATATACTGCATGTGTATAAAAGCCGCATTCCTTGCAGAGTAGAACATTATGCTAAAACCAGTGCCCAAATCAGTGGATCCGGTGCTCCCTCCCTGTTGGAGTTGGATGAAACTTCAGCACCAAGGCTTGGGAAGATTTGCGCCTTGCTTGCAGAGAAAAAACAAACATCCGACTCAAAAGTAACCAGAAAGGGCCAGACTCCATACATCTCCAGACTGTTTTTATGGTCGACCTGTGGAGCCGTGAACGCCACCGTGTGCGAAGCCGGCCGCCGCCGGCGTGGTTCACGTCGTGTGCAGGTGCCAAACGGGTGAAGGTGAATGATACGAATCGGGTTCTTGACAAAAAGTCGGAGCCTGAGAGGTCGGTTAGGTCGGTTTTGGCTCCAAACACTGTGGCTCATTGTTGAAGCAGTTTATAATATAGTCCATAGTGACCGTCAAGTTCTCATAGTAGTTCAACAAGTGAGACATGTGTTGGTCTCTATAGCCTATAGGCGTTGATTGCAACGTGCACTTTCTATCGCATCCAGATGACTTAAAAAAACGACGCCTTTGGTTTTTGATCCAAGCAACGAACTGGTTGAGACTCGTCTTCGGGGTCTCATCCAGGTTGAGACGAGTCTTCAACTTCATCGACACCGATATGGATGGTCTCATCCCCCACATGGCCGTGCTGAGCGTGATCTCAAAGCTGAAGGCGGCCGGGCGATCCGAGACCGTGGCTCATCCGTCCAGAGGGACACCGTCCTCTGGTCCTCCCGAGTCGAAATCGGAAGGAGGAGCGACACTTTGGGACCCCAAACGGCTCCCCCCCCGGCTTCTGTAGAACTCACTGGGACCCAGACTGAGTGATCTGAGTGGCATTTTGAGCTGCCAGGGCAGTGCAGCTTGAACAGAGTGTGAGCACAAAGCCTTAGAGACTTTGCAAACCGACTTGTTTCGATGTCCTTCCATGTTCTAACAAACACGACATGTCCTTTTTGAGGGCACACGTGCATTGATCCATCATGCGATGTCCTTCTCCAGGCGGGTGGAAATGCGGATGAGAGCACGGCACTGGTGAATATGCTGAAGTCCAAGGCCCCCGGGAGTCGTCGACCCATTCTCGAGACTCCATGAAACCATCGGATTGTATATAGCAGAGGGATGGGGCAAGGAGGCTCTAACCGTGTCCTGCCTGTCCTGACACTTGGATGTGGTTTCCGTTTGTTTGAAGAAGTTGAATCATAAAATGATATAAAATGCAGTTATTCTTGTTTGAACATTTGCAAATCATATACATTATACACTTGAAAAGCAATATTTGTGTGCAGGGAGGCGTTCCACCCACCTTTTGATTTGCAAAGACAGAAGATCATGTTTGGGCATTTCATAGTGGCAACTGGCAACACTCAGCTGAAGAGCCGTAACTATGACAGACGGGTTGTAAAGTTTCAATCAATCTTGCTTTTGGCTCACAATCTGACAAGATTTCACAAGGGGTATGTTGATCAATGCCACTGTTCACTTTGGTAATGGTTCTGGGTTCGGGTGTCCACTTTCTCGAGACGCCGTGATGCTGCAAGCCTTTCACAGGTCGTCAACACTTTGGGCATCGCGCGGAAGGCGGGGATGGCACAGGTCGTATCTTCAGCACATGTGATTTTGATGGATTGGTTTCAAACCACTCCAACCAGCTCATCATATATTTGTCGTGTGCAATAACTTCTGGGTCGCAGATGTTAAATGTGCGATGTTAAGCCACCAAATATTGGCAAACCGGGTCAGCAATATAAGTATACCGAGCCTATGAGCGACAACTGCAGAAGACCGAGCATATGAGCGCGAAGAAGATGTTATCGCATAGGAGGGAAACCAGAAGCCATGCTGTTTGATACCAGGAGCAACACCTCAAATCATCATAGATAGGCAGCCTTCGATGTAAGATATGTAAGAGCACTCATAGGCTTTTCATGTTGGGTAGCTTTGCATCTCGAAAATTGAGCATCCTCTTCTGTGTGTTTGTATTTAAATTGGAAAATACGATAACACAGCAATAATCACATCTTTTGTTTGGGGTGTTTGAACCTATATATATATATATGCATGTTGGATTGGGACTGTGCAGAGCAATATTTAAACCTGAGAAGTGACACTCTCATTTTACATGACCAAGTCCCGTCTAGAATCTAGAACGTCGCCGACAAGGGTTGGGCGCCCAAGTGTATGATGGGCACTTGGGTGCTGTGGGACAACTCATGGTCTGTGAGTTGTCACAGGAACCCGTGGGGCGTGTTCGGCTTCTTATCATCAACACCAGCTGCTGGAGTCTCAAGAACTCGACACGTCTCCGCCAGACGCAAAAGTCTGAGCCTGCCACGATTCCGGCCATGCTGTCTGAGGGCACGAGGCGGGAAGATTCAGCTCGGAAAGCTGAAGTCCCCAAGTCCACAAAGTCGTATGACATTTATACTGTGTGTATATGTGTATATATATATATATGGTCACCCCCCCAAATGTCTACCTCTTTTAGGCGTTTTTTGGTATTTGCGGTGTTTGATGCACATATTTAAGCCTGGTGGAGTCCATTTGTTCCTTTTGATTCTTGGAGTTGGACAGTCCACTTGATTCCCTGCGAGGTCCAAAACCTCCATCGACTTTGGCGCGCGGTCAAAGACTTCCCTGGAATTCCTCGCGGAGTCCCCTTGCCAATCTCAGAGTTCTGCAGGCCGAAGATTTGGACTTGGCAGTTGAAACCATTCAAACCAGGAACCCCAGACCTAATAGCAATGGCCTCCATCCTAATAGCGATGGCCTCCAACCTAATAGCGATGGCCTCCAACCTAATGGCGATGGCCTCCACCCTAACTACTTGCGATGGCCTCCAACCTGATAGCGATGGCCTCCAACCTAATAGCGATGGCCTCCACCCAAGTAGCAATGGCCTCCTAACTACTTGCGATGGCCTCCAACCTGATACTGTAGCGATGGCATGCGATGGCCTCCGACCTGAAAGCGATGGCCTCCAACCTAATAGCAACAGCCAAACCATGGTAGGGTGACATCCCTGCCATTTCACTTTGTCATACGTTGTTCATGTCCGGGAGTTCTTCCCGGGTCGCAGGAACCGGTTTTGACCCACAGGCCAAACATGTTTTTCTCGTGAGTGAGAGTGAGAGTGTATGTTTGCAGATTGACATTTCCAAACAATTGCAAACATAGTTTTTGCCAAAGTGTGCATATTGTTATGTTCAAAGATGTTTGACCGCGCATGCGCAGCTTTCGCTGAATCTCCAAGAGATGCCAAACCTGTCTCAGAGAGCAATCACACAAGTCTCTTGGATGGACTAGCCGATTTGGCTGCCAGCGGCCAACGTTGGTAGCAGTGCAGTAAATGACAGTCAATTGACATTTTGGCATTTGCTGGACACTGTGTGTTTATACAAGCTCAATGTTCAAAAAGCTTGCCTCAGCTCAGGTCCAGGTCGCCGAAAGTTTCCACTCTCCAAAAGCCACACAAGTAACTTCCAAGCGAAGATGAAGGTGAGAAGAAGACAGTTCGGGAGTGGTTGTTTCATGACTTCCATAGCCATCCGGCCTGGGCGTTTGAAATGCCCAACTAGGTTCCAAACAAGATATTACTTGACAGAACAATCATGAACAATATTCTCTATATAGTTCCATGATGCGAATCATATGTATAATCTTCTGTTGCCACTGAGTTAGACCGACACAACCGACTCGTCACCCGACTCGTCTTGACCCACTCGTCACCCGACTCGTCGCGTCGCGCGAGTCCATGGCCTTTGCTGCCTCGTCGACTTCGCGGCAGAGCCCTGAGCAGCTTGAGGACGGTCGTCGTCGCCGTCGTTGGGTGCCGAAAAGAACGAATCACGAGTTGAGTTCGTTCGTTTTCAGGTGTTTTGAGAGTTTCGCTTTATTATAGAGTATATACAGAAGACGATCGGATGGACGTCCAGATTGTTCTCTTGGGATTGAGACGTCCGGCAACAGAATTGCTGAAGTGACCAATCCAGGAGGATTCTGAGGAGTTGATAGAGTTTGCGGCTCCTCTGGCGGCAAAACATGTTTTGCTGCCGCACAAGTATACACACAGAGTTCAAAGAGACCAAAAGAATCGGTGTGTAAAACTGTGTGGTTTTGTCCAGTCCCCGTCGTTTCAACCAATATGTCAAAAGAATACAAGTGTTCCTAAAGAGCATCCACTATTTGATGATGCCATGGTGCACTTGTCAGATCACTTTTTCCAACCCCTGGGTTTTCAATGGTTTCCATGTGTCTTTGCAATGTTTTCCCCTGCGGATTGAACCAATGAACATGGCCAATTGCCATTGGGGCCTTGGGGGCCTTGCAGGGCCACCTGGACACTTAGGATTTTAGAAAATTGATGCTTGCTGATGAGTGGGTGGCCTCGAGACTACGCTCTGCGTGTGAGCAACAGCTGAAACAGGTGGGCAGAAATTGCCAGGATTGCCTACAAAAGCTCGTCACCAAACACTAGTCCTGTGAGTTTCAGTTCTGCGAGAGAAGGACGTTTTGCAACTATCTTCCCCAACAGTGTGCTCACACTAGGGGTTCTTATGCTAATGGTTAAGGCTGGGTTTGACCCAGGGTGTTGACCCAGGGTGCTCATGGGCGGCGGCTATGGCTAATTCGCTGCTGTTTGCAGTACATTCATTCACCTCCAAATGTTCGAACTGCATTTTGACTGCGCAGAATTGCTGGCCGAATCCTTGTGTTTTGGTGGTCTGAAGTTGAGAGCCGTTTTACCTCGATGTGCACATTTCGTGGCAGACTCAGCGCTTTTGGTGTAGCTTGAATGCTTGGCAAGTGCAGTGAATTGGGGTCCTTGGACATGTGGCTCATTTTCAGACTTCGGGGGAAGTATCAAGTGAAAGCCACGTCTTGGCACCTTGATGTTGTCTTTGGAAGTGCTTTTGCTCAAAATGCCTTGGCAGGGCTGCGCTGCGAATCTTGATGCGCAGATTTCGTGGCAGGCGCAGGACTTTGTGAAGCTCCTCCAAGTGCAGATTTCAGCGCTTCCAAAATATGAAGTGCAGCCTGTTGCGACATCGAAATGCAGACTCTGCGGCAGGGGCAGACTTTGTCAGCCCCGAAGTGCTGGCAGGCGCAGCTTTTGTGAGAGGCACAGCCAAAAGCCTCAAAGCCCAGATGTCGTGGCAAGATATTTGATGTTTTTGAAAACGGACCGGAAATCAGCAAGGCATCGGCGATGTCGGTATTGCTACCCGAGTGATACTGCATTATTTACATCCTGTGTGCTTGCCCCTGTGGAGACCGACCGACCAAGACAGACAAACGCACAGTTTCCGTGCGGGCGGTTTCGACCGCGAAGCGGTGTGAATATGTGTTTTCATATTATGCGTGTTTCCATGTATGCAGTCTCACCATGTCTCACCTGTGTGTTTTGACATGTGCCCTCTCATGTGTGCATGTGCTCTCATATGTGTGTTCTCACATGTGGTCTTTGCTACTGGTCTGTGCGCTCTCACATATGCGCGCCCTCGTGCGCGCTCACATATTACACTCGTGTGTTCTCATGTGCGTGCTTCCGACTGCGGAAGTTCTCCTATTCACCTTAGGTTTGTTCTATTGAACACTGTTTGGGGTCTCTCGCCGGGATAACTGTTTCTATTTGTAGAACAGATTTTTGTATGGTTGAGGTCCATTTTCCATTTATGTGTTTTCATAATTCTGTTTTGAGGTGTGATGTGGACATGCGACTCTAATTCGTGTTTGTTTTCATTTGCTTTAATGAACAGTGAAGATCTCGGAGTTGACATGTGCTGGGAGCAACAAAATGCTAGATTGTCACAATTTTAGGACCTCTAACTCTACCCGCCCAGGGTCTTTTGCAACCGCAGATACAATTTTTATCGCCCACATTCACAGGGAGTTTTTGCAACGCTGCCTAGTAACATTGGTTAACAGTTGCAACAACAAGTTTTCTTTGATACACTGTGGACTGCACATGCACAAACAACAGGTAAACAGGGGAGGAAGAAACGGACAGAAACAGAAGAAGAGAAAGACGTGCAGAGATAGACTGAAAGATGTACGGCAAGCCCGAGGAACAACAGTGGACATACAAAACCAAGATGCAACCATTTTCATGCCCCCAACCTTTGAAATCACATGGAGAAAAATCACAATCAACACTCTTCACAGCAATCAGAATTGTTTGAACACACATCATACTGGTAGTTGGAACTGCACAAAACCATAGCATTTCTACAGCAATTCCAGAACCATAAAGAATCATAGATACATTACAACCAAACAAACACGTAAAATAAACAGTGTATATTGAGCCTCTGGCTGATAGCAAGCAAGATCAGATGGCCATGGGGCCGTGGTGTGTGTGTTCTTGGGGGCAAAGCTGTTTGTATTGCCATGGCTGTTTTTCCACTTGGTTGCATTCATATATGCCGCTTCAGTTTCACACATTATGGCTACAATGTGTAGTGACTGTTGCCGGCCATGTTGTTTCATGGAAGAATGAATCTAATCTCAAATTCAAGACCTCACTCAAGTCTTCCTGCTTTTGAGCTTTTGATGGACCATATCCTGTACCACCCCAAAAAACAGTTTGTTTCCACTGACACCCTCCGTGCAGGCAAGCAATATGAAAAATCTCACCTCAAGGCATGCAGAGTCCAAGCTGAAAAGTTATCGAGGCCAAAGTCGAAGTGACACGTGGTTTTGCTCAAATCGTGGCCGCTAAGTGCTGCAAACTACCAGTCACCGATGTATCATGCATCATTGAGAATATCAATTATCATCACCTGGGTGGGCTCGGAGTGTCCGATAGTCAGGCAGGGTAGCTGGCTTGGTTCAAGACTTGTGAGTTTCGGTGGGCCAGTTTCTTCATTTCAGTTCTGCCCTTGTTGGGAGATCCCTGGAGATCCGGTGTGAAGGCTGTGTGAGGTTCGGTGTTTGAAGGCGAACGACCGAACCTCGGAAGATGACTCGTCGCTCTTCACGACCGACGTGCTGAGGAGCATGTTGCGGTGAAGGTCGCTCTTGGTGTCCTCCTGCCACCCGACGGCTTACCAAAGGGTTCGAGTGGCTTAAAGTATGACACTAACGTGAGTCATTTCACCAAAGTCAGGGGGGATGACGTTGAAGTAGCAAACCAAGTAGCAAACCAAGGTCACTCAAGTTTTGACTTGCTAAGCCTGGATGCTTGAGCGACAAGAATCAGTAGTTATTTGCAGATCACACTGCATTCCAAATCGGTAGAATGACCCTTCAACTCCGCAACAGAATGCGATTTGAGGCTGCTCTTTGTGCTGAACCTCATTGAACCATCACTCAACAACTCTTCACCATTGCGTGGCTTGCGCTTTTGCGACAAATTTGTGCCAAACTCAGGAAAAAGAGGTCAGAGTGGCAAGACAAGATGTTGCCGCGTGGTCGGTGGTTCATCTTCCTGCAACCAGGTGGTAAGTTTGCCTGGTACAGTAACATATTTAATGTATTTAAACATTGTTTGAATGCTTGGCCACCAAAGAGAAACAAGGTGTTGAGAATGTGGAGGCAACGAAAAGTAGGTGCTGCAACGCAAAAGCCACATAGGTGAGTGTCTCCTTCTCCACAGGGTGTTTGAGTGGACCAGGGTGCCCCGGCATCGTTTCACGCCGCGTGTGGGTGAACCCGTCGTCTCCAGGTGCGAAGCGAGTTCAATCTCACAGCGGAGGCTGAAGTACCTGAACTGGTCAAAGAGCAAGTTGAGGCCTGGATTTGGGAAGACCAGGAGAAACGACGAATGGATTTGTGTGTTTTCATATTTGGTTTGACAAGCTTAAGGATGGCAGAACAGTAATTCAGACATCATTTACTGCAAGTATGGTGATATGTCTCCTGCCCTTCATCTCTACGAAGTTCTGAAGGTCTTTGTATATATGTCTTTGTCAAGAGCGCCTTGAGAGTTAAATTGCTCCATGAGTTCATGGTGTTTTGTCCATGCTTCAGTCTCGCTAGTTGAAGCGTTCACGGTTTGCAGTGATCGCACAGCATTCGATTTCAGTGGCTCTCTTTTTCAATGGTTGTAGGATGTTGTAGGTCATTGAAGGGAAGCACGCAGTCAACTTGCAGTCAACTTACAACCCCAGCGCAGCCCTGAAGTTGAAAAAGAGGTCGCATGAGAGTAAGGAAGTCCCTAGGACAATTGGACATACATTAAGTGAACCACTTGGGATGGACGACTCCCCGTCCCTACGCCCCTTTGTGACGTGGACTGGGGCAGGGCTTTAAGAAGAACATGCAGTGGGCGAACGAACACCGGTTGCAAGAAACCTGGTGCATCCGATTACCAGAGCCGGTGTACTGGCCTATTTCAGTTCCTGGCCTATGACCGATCCTCAAGCTTTTGAGTTCGTCACTTTGCCGGACGTTTACCTCAGCGCAGGTCTGGCTAGACGCTGTTGGGAAGAGCATAGGCACAAGATCCTTGCTCTACCTGGATTTGGACAGAAAAGCCGGAGCCCTAGAGCCGCAAACACTTTGGAAACTGTGGATCTTGAATCTCACCTCGGTGTCGCTATTGGTTACTGTTCAAGTTGGCTTCAACCCGCACACATTTCCAGATGTTGAGTTCTGCGAGGGATGAGAACATCTACAGTATCGTTTGAGATTCTTTGGCTGGGCTTGCCCATCTGTCCCGCCACAACAGATTTCCGATGTCATAGCCAGGCAAGGCATGCAGTACCACATCTGGTTTCGTTCCACTGAATTCTGGTTCATTCTCCAAGACCAGCACAACGTCAGAATCGCCATGCATCGCCATGCATCGCCATGCATCGCCATGCATACCTGTGCCACCGTATACGCAAAGCATATAGAAAAAGAAACGGTAAGCCTTGCGTGAGGCGTATACCATATACGGGTTTGATTTCTCGCTCAGCTGGGTTCTGACCGCCCCGAGAACGCCGTTCCCGGCGCACGGCTGAACACCGGAGTCGACCGGAATGGGTGAGTGAGGTCTATTGCAGTGAGATTCCGGGGCACACAGGCGAAACAGCGAAGCTGCGATTTGGGAACCTGTCAGACCGGTTTATAGTCACGGTGTTGAGCGGTAAACGTGCTCCTTGTTTTTGGATTGCTTTACAGGCAAGATCGAGACTTACTGGCTTTAAAGCTTCCGAGAAGAGCTCCAAGAGTCACCATCCTGACGCGAAGCGCCAATGGCTGATTTTGTTTGAGGTGGTGAAAAAGGGCTTTGAACAGGATCAGACATGAGAGAGGTCATTAACCGAAGAAGCCAGCCTAGCTTGGACTGTAATAGAACAACTCACTCAATTCTCGAGAATTAATATGAATTAATCATCAATCCATCAGCATTGGTCCAGGTGGCGTGTTTCATTTTTTTTGGTTTTTTTCCACTGATGACGCCACCGACAGGCGGCCCTTGCAACAATGCCTCCCACTTTTTGGGCTCGCGGCGTGAGCTTCTCGTGCTGGACGGCGACCTCCGAAACACGGGCGTGAGGCCGGAGGTTCGTGGCCAACTGAAGATCCCACCATAGAAAGAAAATAAATTGGAGAAGATGTGGATCAATGGATTGGTTGAATATGATTTGATATAGGAAAAATCTCCAGGAAAGCATGGTTTTCACATCCAGGACTACGGGTTTCCTGTAAGTTCTCCCTTAAACTTAAACCAATTCTGGGAGTGTAGCATGAGCATTGGACTGGATGACAACTGGGACGGCTCTTGTGTGAGTTGTCTCCTTCGATTGAATCACATTGCAAGGTTTGGCGAGTTGGCACTGGCCACACTTTGGGTTTTGCCCCGAAGTGGGCCATGTTTTGTCAATGGAGCCAGCTTTGCTTGGTGAAGATCTTGTCGGATGTCAATGTTCACGTAAACGCTTCGCGGTTCCGACTGTGACGACAGCACCAGACATGGACGCGGACGGGTCACTTCGCTGGACATGGACGCGGTGGCTCCGCAGGCAGTCTGATTTGCTCTTGCTCCGAGTGCCAGTGGCTTCAGCTGCAGGGTGGCCGGCGGGCGAGCGACAGCCGGCCGCAGCCGCATGGGGTTGTCATGGCCACCGACCCCAGCAGGCAGTGTCCATTTGGACTGCTCAGAAAACTGGATGGGATGCTCCAGAAATCCAGTGAACCATGAGGATCATCATTGCTTGTCTTAATGATGCTTCTTCTGAGCAAGACATTTGTTGATAAACGCAATCTAAAGGCAGTTTCATGATGTTTCATGAATTTTCCCTTTTGGCCTACACTTCTTTAATCCTTTCTTGGAATTACCATGTTTGCACCAGGGCTCACACTTGCCAGATGAGCCCACGACCTCAGTTTGAATATGTTTGAATAAATATTCAAGCCTACAAAAAGCATAGTTCCAGCAGGGTCGTTTTCTTGAGCTACGCGAAAATGATAAACGTAGAAGCTGAAACAGGCCCTGCAACACAATGTTCCTCTTCAAACTAGTGGTTTGGCCAGAGTGGCGTGGCTGAGGACTTCTCTGATGAGGAGGTGTCACAAGAAGAGCTTGAGTCCGGATTCTCAATGGGTGCATGAAGGGGCATTATGAAATTATGACAATGGTTAAATATGGTGAAATCTTTGGCCCAGCATACCTTTTTCTCCACTTCCAACCCAAGAAACCTCCCATCATCCCTCCTTTACTTTACAAGTCTAGGATCATCATCATACTGATCCCAAAACTGTGGGTCACGGCGAGCGACACGATCATCATCAGTGGAAGTAGAACCCCCCTTTGAACGAAGTCAAGGCTTCTCAATGCTTCGCCGAGCTTCGCCAAGACTGAGAGCATCTGGGAGCCCTTACATTTGGGAGAAATCCCATCCATCCGGAAGTGAAATACCACCCTGGACCGTTTCCTGGAGCTATGTCCACTTTCTTCCAGTGCTCCGACCCGACCTGGCCCAGGCAGCGGACCACGGCCGTGGCCGTGCTCTTCGACCGGGTTCACAGCTCGGTGGAGGCGGCGGAAGAAGGGACAGACGGTGATCCATCGAAGGATTTGACGGCGTTTGGGGTGTGGAATTGTGACATCTAAGATGGATTTGCCATCTAAGATCTGAGACTTCGGGGGCATGTCGCTCCGTTGAAGCTGAGACTTTGGATGTTCAGTGAACTGCTTGGTGGACAGAACGACCCCAAAACGGCCCCAAACGGCCTCTGATCGTCCAAAAGGACCACGCCGTTCAAACCTGGAGCCCGACCAGTCCACCATGGGATGCGAACGACCTCATGCGGCTACATACCAGGTGACCAACCGTCCCCAATTCTCCCGCGCTGCTGAAGGGGCCTCTGTGAAAAATGGTTCAGACACGCGCACGAACTCGTATCGTAGGTAGGTAGGTCAAAGCAAGGTATCCTACTTGAGCAGTTTCACCTGGCTAGGCCTGGATGTCGATTCTGACCACTTCAGCCGTCGCTTGGTGGGCAAGCCTCGACCCATGAGACGAAGAAGGGAGTGAGGGAAGAAAGTTGAAAGGAGTGAACTGGGAAAACGAGTCACAGGGTCACAGAGCAAGTGCAGCAGATATGAGCATGTTTAGCTTTAAGATTGCATCTTTGGGCTTCTCCTTCCTTTAAACACCATCCAATGTGTTTCAGTGAACTCAACTCCAACAGAGATGCATCTTGAAACAGGTGGTGACTGAGCATCCCTTTGATGTGCCTGCCGTTTTGAGGTGATTTTTATCATTCTCTCTGGAATCGTCCTGCTGACACGGGACCTCACCTTCCTCTCACATCACCTGCTGAGGCTGCCGTTTTGTGGGGATAGCAAGTGATCAGTGATGATCAGTGTAACAACTGTACAGGTCCCAGGTGATTAACAACTGAAAGGAGTGCGTTTGGACGCCTCAATTAATCCAATGTTTGGGTCCAAATGAATAGACAGCTCACCTGATGTCCGAGGAACTACCGTCCCATCCACATTGGAAACTGCTGTTCCAACAGCCCGCCGAAGGAAGGCAATCATTGTCCAAACCCTTTCTGAACACGTCGATGTTGGTTCGGATAAAGGACAACTGAACAACCATTTACCATTTCTTAACCATTTCTTCTTCTGGCACATGGCACAGGCCGTTGCGAGATCTAGCTGATGAGATGGAAAGCATTGCGCAGCTCCAATTAGCTGGAGTCTCGAATACAGAGGAGGAAGAGGCCAGGTCCCGATGAAGTGCACTGTGGGTGTTCTCAGTGTATACAGGAGCATGCAACATCGGTTAAATGACATTTGTCCTTTCATCAGAAGGATGGCCAGCACCTAAGGCAGCACCTAACTAACATTTGCTCTTCCTCGACGGTCGCCGTGAGCACCAGTAGATGCTGGGAACTGGATCCGGAGGATTCCAGGCAGTGGGCACTTCCATAAGCCATCGCCTCCGGAGAGCACCGAAGCATGCGTTTGAGCATGTGCCAACCAAGTCGGCACCGTGACAGACCTTAAAAGGCATGAAGAGATGAGCTTGAACAGCTGAGTGATTTGGGTGATAGGTTGGTTTGGTGGGTTTGGTCGGTCCATGTGCCGGTCTCATTTGTTGCTTTTTTTGGTCCGTAGCACCGGCGGCCAGGTGGGTGGAGAAAAAGAGACGAGCGAGGTCCAGCTGATTCGCAGGAACACACGCTCGGGTGGGCAGATGTTCGCCGAGTCCTCCCTGCTGCGATGAACGCAACGGTGCCCTTCGTTGTGATCGGCTGGTGCCATGACTTGTAGTCTTGTAGTCTTGATGCACCGTCCCGGTGAGGCATGAGGTATTCAATATGCAATGGTAGATAATGGTAGTCATTGCTGATTCACACTGATTTGGTTCAGACTTGTTAGAGCTTGGTTCACTTCCAATGAACTGGGCGCGTGGGTGTGCCTGTGTGCGTGCGGCGCCGCGTGCGGGGCGTGGATGGCCGCGACTTCACCAGGACCTTTGGGAACATGAAGAAGGCAGTTCGCTCATGGGGAAAGTATGTCCCATGGCCAGCTCCCAGACGGCAGGTATTTTTGGAGAAGCGGCTGAAAGTCAGTCTGATCAGACATTCGAGTGTGGGTCAGAAGGTTGCAGTAGATGACCAGAAGATAGAATACACAACCATGGTGTTTTGCGGATTTGATTTATATAATTCTAACTGCTAGTCAGTTATGGTACGATTAACAACTATTGTTCTTTTGTTTATGGGTGTGTCTCAAAACAGAGAGAACCTTCCCGAATGCTCCATTGGAAGAGTTGGAGACGAGTGGATCCCAGATACTATGACCATGTCTCGACCCCGTAGATGTCAGTTGGTCGAAGCGGTTCGAGGTTGTGCAAACTCTTCTCCGAGCTGGAGATGAAGCCAAGTTGGAAGTGAGAGAAAGAGAGGCGGTCAAAGGGGTCATGAATTTGTCGTGGGGAAACAAGCAGGAACACAAGGGAAGGAAAGGAGTTTGTGAGTTTGAGTTCAACTTGTCAAAAGGGATTGGGGGGATTGAAGGTCAACCTAGCTGAACAGCGGCGCGGGGAAGTGTCGTGAAAGTTGGTTTCGTCCTGTGCTCGGAAGGGAAGGGAATGTGTCCATTTTCAATCGACGAGCTAAGATCTGTGCATCACGCTGTTGGCAGTATTCCAGGGTGGTGTACGCGGGGAATCGACGTATAACTTATATAACTGTGACACTAGAAAGTGCACATATATTGACTATAGAGGTGCCATGTTTGACCTGTAGAAGGAGGCTAGTTTTGTACTAGGTCGGCAGGATGTCAGGACATGGGTTGCACGCAGAGCTGTTGGGGCCATCACTTCCTCTCGGCTGACCGAGATGGTGAGTCGATGGCCAGCAGCTCTGAGGAGTGAGTGGTTCTGATCCGAGAGAAGACTTGTACTCCTGGCGGACGTGGCAGAACAGTCTTGAATTCAGCTCGGTTCATCAAGCTAGTGAAAGGACACAAGCAGAAGGACATCCGGATTTGAAACTGTCATTCGATGTCATTTGTATTCATTTGTGCAGTGCAGATACTGCCCAAACCGCTGCAAGGTGACCATGTTTTTCTCTGACATCGCCAATTTCACTACCATCGTTACTTGGCCGGGTCAGGAGTGTGATGGTCACCAGCAAAGCAAATGTAAATGGAAAAGAGATCTACGAGATCTACCATCTCCACCTGGACCTGGACCTTATATAACCCACATGAATCGTCGGGTCGGACGCGGGTCCTGATTTGCTTAGACGCTAAAAGTCCATATAGGTGTTGTTGACACGGTTCATCACGGATCTTCACCTTCATTTGCTGTTCGGTTTTGACGACACCACGGATCATCTGCTTTTGTTGTGAACAACATCTGTTAACTCTTCATCTGTGTTTTGTTTATTCTTCGGTTTTGACACGGATCATCACGGATCCGTCCGTCCCAGGTTGAGGGCTGGGAGCCTGAGGAGTGCTTGATCCTTCTGAGTCGTTACTTCAACGACATGTCGAAGGCCGGAAGGAGAGGTCTTTTGGGGGTCACAACATGTCATGTCTTTTGGAGGGGTCTTCCTTGGGAGCTCCATTCCGCTGTCGTCTTTGGGAGCATTTCGGAGCCTTTTTGGAGCGAGCGAACTTCGGCTGATGTCTGCCCCAAAGGAGTGAACAAAATGAGTTGAGAGGGTTATGGGTTGTGGCCGACCGACACGAGCCTCCGTATGGGGGGACCACCCGCATCACTCCGCACCCGAGGTGATTGACGACCACGGCGGCGTGGTCCTGGAATTCATTGGTGATGCCATTCAGTGCATCTACGGTGCGCCTCTCTACAATGACAACCACCCAGTGGTGGCTGTGGAGGACGGCGAATGGTCGCGATGGGATGGGGTCCATGTTGAAAGAGAGGGAAAGCTGTCCTGGCAGATTCGCAGACGGTAGCGTCATGCTGCCCTGACATGGTGCGCCCTGATGAAGTCCGGTTTTGTTCGTCCACGAAGCGGTCAGCAGGTAGGTCATGCACACAACACTTGGAAACCGATTGCCGCTTCTTCAGCTCTTTATATACATTGGTTCCTTCTTCCACGTTTGCACAGACTCGATGGTTTTGGGAGGCCGCACTGAGAATGCTCAGTGCCTTGCGTCGGATCAAAGAGTGGTGCGCTGAAAAGGGCCTTCCAGAGGTGAGCATCAGGCGACGTGTTTCAGCTCGATGTTTCAGCTTGCGACACGGCTCCGCGCGTGCGACGTCTCGTGCGACACGTCGGGTCTTTTGGGTGGATGGATCCGGCCTGTGGGTTGGCGGAATGGTGTCTAGGCTGCCTTTTCTTCTTGGTTTCAGTGGACTGGGGAAGAATTCATGCCGACCTTCCTAGGATGGTGCAGGTTCCTTCCTATTTTGCTATTGAGTGAATTTGTGATATGATATGTAAGCCATTTGTAATTAAGCCAACTGTTTACTAATTGAATCATATTGATTACACAAACGTGTTGGGTGATGTTGCTTGTTTGCATCAACTACGTTAGAGAACGATGTTTCCTCCAGTGACCTGTTTGTTTCGTTGCAGCTACATGCCAGGTGTGGGATCCACACCGGCAACGTGCTCGTGGGCAACATGGGCTTCCGTTCTCGGATGAAGTACGGAATTGTAGGTCACGTGGCAAGAAATGGAAGAGATGAGTGAGGAGAAAACAGGACCACAGACGCACCATGATGCAACAGGATTCATGATGCAACTGCAGCTGATTGTATTGACTGTATCCTGCGTGTGTCAGCAGTTCGGTCCTTTTCCTGATTCCGCATGCACCGCATGAACTGTGAGGATTGTGAGGAATTTATGGATGAATTGACAAGACATGGTTGTTATTGAGGAATGTCTCTCTTGAAGCACAGCCTTTCTGACGGTTCGGGTGGGGGCAGAGGACAGACAGGAAGATTGTGAGCACTTTCAGCACAAATGACATCAAATGACTACTTGCGAGCGCGGCCACCGCTTGCCCTTTAGCTTTTGCGTGAGACTGGGGAAACCAACAACCTGAGCAGGAAATGAAGCTGACATCGGCATGTTTCTGACATGCTTTGACCTTCCCAAGCAGCTCCCAAAAAAAGTGGACAAGAGGGCTTTGAAGATTGGAGCACCTCACACGAATTCTCTGAGAACTCCTAGGGGAACGGCCCGAAGATATGCAACGACCATCTTGAAACATCCCCGCAACCAGATGTCCACGGCGGCACCCCAGAACACAATCACCGAATCTGACATGATGTGGTTTTGACCAGGGAGACTTCGCACACACTGTTTCTATGCTGTCTATAGTGCGGCACACCTGTATACATCCTTTACTATATACCTTAACCAGAAAACTCAGACTTTTGACTTCACCGGACGATGTTTGTTATTACTAGCGATGCACCTGTTACTATACTAGCGATGCACCTGTTGCTATACTAGCGATGCACCTGTTACTAGTAGCGTGGCACTTGTTACTAGTAGCTTCTTGTTACTACTAGTAAGGCACTTGTTACTAGTAGCGTGGCACTTGTTACTAGTAGCTTCTTGTTACTATACGAAGAGGTCTTCGTGTCGGAGACCGGTCCTCAGGTCCTTCCCGACCCGGCCGTGCCACGGCTCGAGGCGAAGAGTCCACGATCGCCGGACGGCTCGAGGACCGGGGGCGGTATGGTTTGTTTGCAACTTGCAACAAGTTGGAATGACTGTCTTCAAGGTTAAGCAGCTTGAATCCAGTCTTTGGATGTCTTATGATGTCTTTAGGACTGTGCAACTGTGGCTGGCTAGCTATGGATGTGTTTCTCCATGATCCGGTGTGTCGACAACCCCCCCAGACACATGTGATCACATATGCACCCAGATCAAGCCCCTGGAACTTTGCGTGCACAGCAGTAGATGCACAAAATAATAATGTTGTCTCCATGAACCCCGCACCCCAAATCTCAATGTTACAAGTTCAGTTTAACATATGTCTTGGTACCTTGGGTTTTGATTAGCTTCGTCCATTCGGCCCTAGTCTTTGGGAATAATGTCAACATTGAAATTTACGGGGTGGGGGGGAAGTGTATGTATAGTCAAGGGTTTGAATGTGTTGTCCGGCCATCTGATTTGGGCCCGTCAAACTTCTTTCACTGGGCCAACATGCACTCCACCGCAACTGATACAATGGAGGTTGCAGATTGCAGATGTGTCAAGTTTCTTCCAAGAAAAGGCATGTTTCTTTTACCATGCAAACAGTGGGAACAGAGCTGGTCCTGAAGCCACGCCACATCGAAGGCTAAGGGTGATGGCACGCGCTGACATCATTGTCCGTTGGAAGATAGCAGAGTTGTTGTTGCTCAATAAGAGTTGCTGTTGTTGCTGTTGCTGTTGCTGTTGTTGTCGTCAAGCAGAGTTGTTTTCAGGAGCTCAATAAGACTTACAAGACCCGAATTCTCATCTCGGAGACTGGGGTGATGCGATGCGATGCGATCGGGCGAGGATGGATCGGGATGGATCGGGGTAATGGGACGAAGTCGATTTTTGGGTTGGCAAACCAAGGAAGTGCGCTGAGAGGACACTTGATGATGTTTGATATCAAAGGAGATGCCTTTTTTAGCCCCAATCATTAAACAGAGCTTCACCAGGCGCATTGATTGCGAGCCGGCGACTCGATTTGGTTGGTTGAAACCGCTCGTTTCAGCGGCTGAGGAGAGCACCTACACGAATCTTGGGCCCCATGACTACTTCATTCGCCCCGTGGATTTCGTCCATCTCAGACAGGCCGGTTTGGAAACCGGAGTGCAGTCTAGTACGCTTCCGCTGTTAGAAGTGGTGAACAAAGGCGCGTTGTGGGTGACTTTGCGAGGGGTGAGTTTAGTGAGTTTGGGCAGGTTTGACAAGTGGTTCTTCAAGACAGCACGGTGCTTTTGCTCTTGGACAAGCAAGCGAGATGGTGAATAGGATCACCTCTAGGGTGCCTTTTGCAAGCAAGGCTTGAGGTGTTGGTGGATGAAAAGTATTGAACATGTGATGGTGTCCACGCTTCAAAAAGATGATCCAAGCTGCAAAGAGTTCGCTCTCGAGTTCTTCCCCAGTTGTTTTCACACGAGGCTTCCACAGAGAAGGAAGCTTGCAGCGAGCTCATCTATGAGGCTTGCGAATCGTGGGCCCGAGGTTCGATCGCTAGACATGTAGACCGTTGAGGAAGAAAACATCATGAAGCAACCCTCCTACCAGAATTGTTCTAGATTCTACATATAAACTATGTACTTTTTTCGACATCTGCATGGAGATCTCCATATTTGCGAGCTTTTATCATATATACATTGTACACGTTATAATCAACAATATGATTCAACCATGTTGCGAATGATCGCATAATCTTGGCTGTAGATGTTCTGTTTCAGGTGGGTGCGTAGGATCCTCTTTGAGCGACGCCATAGTACCCCGACACCTGAACCACAACCTGAGCCTGGGACTGCTGAAACGGAATCAGAGAGCTCTGGAGAGGAGTCAGTTGCACCTTTCTTCCAGCGCCCCCAGTGTTACACTGTGATCCCAGTTGGCATCCCTGGACCTGCTTTTCATTATCGTGGACAGTTGAATCTGCTACCTTCTTTATCACTTGGATCAGGACGTTCGATTTTACGCTGTTTGGAAAATCCCTGGTGAGCCCAACGACACCTTTGCTGGCTTGCACTGGGGCACTTCCTCAACTGCATACGGGGCTCTCCTCACACTGAACGACGGTCAGTTTGCTGGAATCCGCTTTCGTAGAGCTGAGACACTCCCCCAAGCCAGAGAATTGTTCAGGAGGGAGGCAGAGCGACACCACATCGATCCCAGATTGAGCTCTCGCGTGTTTGGTTGGGAAGAAATTCATGGAGAAGAAAGGAGCAGTCGGCTATATTTGGCTGAGCAGTGATTTCGAAGAACCACGGTGGAGAGAAGCGTTGATAGTCGGTGAGAGAGACAGTTGGGTGCAGACCTTAGTTCGGTGCAGTCAGAAGGAAACTGAGGCGAGTGGCCTGTCAAGCTGCAAAGCTGGACAACAATGTTACTGTTTGGTGGAGGCCAAGCCCGGTCAGGTCAGGCTGGGACCCTCAGATGTGACAACCACTCTGAAGCTGGAGACGGATCGCAAAGCACTGATTCGGGCCGGTCAGGATCTGCTCAGCGCGGACGAGGACCTTGCCTATGCTACAGCTTCAGAGCCTCCTGCGCCGGCCAAAAGAAAACCTCTCAAGAAGACCGTCGAATCATCCGACTCCGAGCTATCCGACAGCCTTCAAGGAGACGGGGTGGACGATCTGGTCGCCAAGATGCGGCAGAATTGGCTAAGGCAGTGGTACAGATGGAGGAGAAGCCAAAGACCAGGAAAGCAAGCGAGACAAAAAGAAGTCCAAGCGACTTGCACTCATCGAGAAGACCCGAAAAAAGAGGGACGAGGACGAGGACCAGCTCAAGCAACTAGACATCGTTCGCATGCTAGCTGGAACCAAAGAGCCCTTGAAGGGTCTCTTGGCCTTACAGCTCGCTCAGAGCCTAGCCAGGAAAGAAAAGAAAAGGAAGAAGAGCAGAAGGCACCAGTCAAGCACCTCCTCCAACAGCAGGAGCATCTCGAGCGGCAGCGATTCCTCCAACTCAACAGGTTCCACCCACTCTCGGGGCCGTGGGCACGCCAAGGCGGTGTCAAACCTTCAAGCCACAAAGCGACGAATGTTCCGCAAGCCCCTGAAGTATGTCAGACAATATGTCAAAGGCATCGAGCAGGAGCTGGGAGCCCAAGACAAGCCTTTCAGGGTGGTCGACTACACCCGGCGGATCCCCTTCGGCAAGCAGAGAAATTTGCAACGTTGCCATTACTTCTTTGGCATAGTTCTGGAAATGATAGTGAAGGAAGATTATCACCGCACAGCCCTCCAAACGACGCTTTGTCTCCAAGCTTTGCACCAAGCAGCTCTGGACTCCGACTGGACCGTTGCCTGGCTGTTGACTCACACACCAGACCCTTACGAAAAGAAGCAGTTTGGTGGAGATCCGAAGAGCCTGCAAGACGTCACTGCATACATCCGGAGCATGCAAGATCTCTCAAAGAGTGCCGAGGCAGTGAAGCGGCGCACACCTGGGAGGCAAGGCGACGAGCCGGAAGAGGAGAAGCCCAAAGCCAAAGGAAAGGGCAAGGGCAACAAGCGCAAAGATGCCAAGGAGTCGGTCAAGAAGACCGAGAGTTGAACAAAGCAGCCAAATTCCAGCAGTTGCATCAGAAAGCGAAGCCTTTCTCTGATGACCCTATCTTGAAAAGCGTCCACGGGAGCTGGGGTTCCTTTGGACGTTTCTTGAGACTAATTAAAAACAGTGAGTCCCCTATCAGCCAAGGTTGTGAAAAGGGGTCGGGGCCTAGGACATCCTTCAAATTGGAGGAACGTGCAAGTCTTTTTTCCGTCTTTGCTGGTGACACCGGAAGTCATACGGTGTCCTAGAAGCGCACGGTCACGTGCTCGAAGACGAGGCCACATGGAAGCTTGGGAATGGGTAAAGGTGCTTTGGGCATTGTTTACTTTTTTCGAGGGGGGTTGTACTTTTCGAAGAGCTGATCAGAGAGAGTTGCTCGCCCGAGCTCGTGCCGTGCCATGGACACCCATGCATTCGGAGTATGCTGGCTTGTTGCATAAGCAAATTAATAGATTTGTCCGCCTTAGGGAAGATAAAGACTCTCTTAGTCGCGGCATCTTGAAATTAAGTGAATTAATTGCTGTGGTTAAAAGCTCATCATATCATGGCTTAGAGTTGGATGCAAAGTTGCAGCAATCAGCAAAACCTGTCAAGCCCAACAGGATGTCTTTGCCAGAGCAAGCCGGGATCATTGATCCGAGACAGTTTTTGAAAAGCCCTCACTTGGAGCAGTTTGTAAGTATGATCAAGGACATTCCTATGACCCACTCTGAACAACCCCCGATAAAAGGCTGTTTCAAGGTAGAGGACCAAGACCTGAATCAGGTCTACAAAAACCTTTTGCGTTCGGGTGTCGCCGCGCTGCTTCCTTCTGAGTTGGCAGTCAAGGACCAAGATGGCCGCGTCATAACAGGCGGTCTCTTCGCCGTCAACCACAAAGAGCATAGCGACCGGATAATTTTGGATAGGCGGCCTTTCAACCAGTTAGAACGCCGGTTAGTGTGGGCGAAGTTGCCTCATGGTTCCCTGCTGACCCAAATCATTCTCCCTCCGCATTTTAGCATTCGTGGCAGCGGTGACGACCTCAGCGACTACTTTTACTTGTTGAAGCGCAACCAAAATTGGCTTCCCCGAAATGCTATAGGAGAGGTCTTCGATGGTGAAGGTTTTGAGGAGTTTGGTGGAAGGAAAGGTAGTCGTTACCTGTTGTCCTTTTGTGTTATTGCCATGGGGGATTTGAACGCGGTCGATATCGCGCAACAGGTCCACATCGAAATCTTGAAAGATTGTCATTGCATGCAACCGGGTGAAGTACTGGCCTATAAACAACCAATACCAGCTTCTCACTGCTATGAAGGGCTCTATATAGATGACCACATCGTCATTCAAGTAGTCCCAAAGAAGCAAAAGAGAGAAAAAGGTGCTAGGTTTCGTGATGAGGTCATTATAGAGGCCAGTCGGGCTAAATACCAAGAAGAGGGTATACCAACGTCTAAGAAGAAGTCCTTCAACAAAGCAGGCAATTTTGTTGCATGGGGCACCGAGGTGGACAGCGCCTCTGGTCGCGTAGGGGCACCTCTAGCCAAGCTCCGACAGCTGGGGAAAGTGTTGACTCAAGTGTTAGAACTGGCCAAGGTTTCCAAAAAGATGTTGCGGCAAGTGGTAGGGCTAATCCACCCATTCATGCATCGTAGGAACCTAATGTGCTTGTTGCAAGAAACCTTTGTTTGGATTGAAACGCTTGAAGATCACGAGTCTGCCAAGCTCCCCCCTGCCGTAAAAGAGGAGCTCGTGTGGTGCGCTCTTTGCTTACCGGTGGCAGAAGCCAACATCCGGTGGGAAGTTTCCAGCCGAGTGGGTTGCAGTGATGCTTCACTGACCGGAGGAGGTAGAGCGGCCACATTGACGTTGCCCTCGGTAGCACAGACGTTGGAGGAGGTAGAGCGGCCACATTGACGTTGCCCTCGGTAGCACAGACGTTGTACCGTCTGGCTGAACACAAAGGGGAACATGTCCGACTAGACTGGCAGTCAGGAAACTTGGCCCCGGAAAGCGCAATGCAGCCCATCCCTGAGGAGCTTGAAGATTTGATGACCGATCACTCCTGGGTACCACGGGTGCCTGGGCCAAGGGACGCTCGTCGTCCAAGCATCTGAACAGACTCTTGCGACCCAGCTTGGGATGGTCAATTGTCGGGCAAAAGTCCATACACATAGTTTGGGTGCGCTCGGAAGCCAATCCGGCAGATCATCCTTCACGCGGTCGTCCAATCCCGGCACCCCCAGCGATGCCTAGTGACACCACTAGAAAGGTTATAGGAGATAACATCCCTATAGTACTACAGCATAGAGACAACCGTAGCATTTGGAAAGTCGTTCATAGTGTCAAACAGGATGTCACTGACGGCAACGATCAGGCAGACGAAGCTCAGAAGACTCCCGCTTTCGAGCCGAAAAAGCATCCGGCAGTAAAAGCATGGTCTTTTAAAGAGATTTTTGCCGGGTCCGGCCACCTGACCCAATGTTTCAGACGAAGGCAGTTCTTCAAAGTTTCTGCCCCATTTGAAATACGCAAAAAGGAAAGGTAGACCCCAATAACAACATCCTTGAAGACATCGTGTTCGCCCGACTCTGTAACGAGGCCAAGCGGGGGAAACAAATTTGGCATTTTGGTTTTCCATGCAGTTCTTTCAGTCAGCTACAACACCTCAACAAAGGGACTCGCTGTAAGGACAAACTACCCGAAGGGGATGGGAGTCTGAAAAGGGAGAAGCTTGGGAATGAAATCTTCCACAGAACACTGCATTTGTGTAGTATACTAGCACAGCATGGCTCTTTCTTCACTCTTGAAAAACCCTGCTTCCTCATATGCCTGGAATATGCCGGCGTACTTACGGCTAAAACTAGACGTCGAGATAGTTGAAGCTAGACTAGGCCAGTGCTGCTATAATCTCAGGGTCCCTGATGTAGATCGCACATTGAAGCTGGCTAAAAAGGCAACTGTTTTTGCAGGGAATCTTCCAGATCTCGAAAAGCTGGCAAAACGCTGTTGCCAGAATCATGCACATGTCGCAGTGATTGGGGGAGTCAAGTATAAGGGCAAGTGGGTCAAAAGATCCACGCTTGCCGGATCATACCCAGCACCACTTTGCGAGAGATATGTCAGCATTTGTGAGAAGATGTTCCAATGCTAAACTTGAGTAAACAGAGCTCTGACCACCGCTGCACGTTAGTTTTTTTAATGAATGTTGTGTCCTTTGGTTTTTCCAGAACCATTATAGTGCATGTCGCCCCATGGACCTTGGTGCTGACTTGAGCATCTCAAAACTGCGATGCTGCCGATACAGCGCTGCTTACCGAGGTCGACTGCTCGGACAGGCCCTCCAGCGGTTTTTGAAGCTAAGAGAATGAGTTGGAGCGAATTGTCGGCCAAGAGCCCTCTCGAGATAGATGCTGTGCTGACAGATTTTGTGAAAGCGATGCATCAGGCAGAGGGAGCTGCTGCTTTTCGCATTGCCAAGCATGCCACACTCTTCATGCAGATATGGCAGCCCAGATTGAGACGCAATTTGCCTGAGACATGGGACAATTTGATCTCGTGGGAGGAGTTGCGACCGGCCAACTTCAGACAGCCCCTTCCTGTAGTTCTGATAGCTTTGATATGTGAAGCCAGACGGTGGAGCCTGACCATCGATGACCCGGTCATGTCTGATAGACTTCTGACATTTGCTGCACTAACTGGCCTATGCTTCTTCGGAATGCTCAGGCCAGGTGAAAGCTGAAACCTGCTGACGTAAGCCTGCCGAATGACATCTCCCTAGGCAGCGAATGCGCGATCATCCGATTGCGCCAGCCCAAAAATGCCAGGCCGATGGGTAGACAGCAGTATGCAAGTGTCGCGCACCCGGACATCACAGACTGGTTAGTGTGGCTAGTAAACAAGGATCAGAATAAAAATAGGTTTCTGTGGCCTGGATCTCAACAGAAGTTCCGAGCCTTATTCCAAGATTGCTGCAAGAGGCTAAGACTCACTAACTGCCGATTCAGTCCCGCAAGTTTGAGAGCGGGGGGTGCAACAACATGGCATGTAGACAGCCATCGCAGTGACATAGGTAGGCTCCGGTTCGAGGGTCGTTGGTCGAATGTGCGTTCTTTAGAACATTACGTTCAGGTGGCCCGAGCCCAGCAACTGTTGTTGCAGATACCTGATGCGACTTCGCATCGGATCGGCCGCTTGATTCAACAGTTTTCCTTCTTGTTGTCCTTGCCGCAATTTCTGGCCCTCAAACTGCCCTCTCAGCACTTGTTTTTGCGTCCGCCGCTCACCATCGATCAGCTCAATGATGTCGCTCGAGAGTGCAGAGATTGGGGAAAGCCTTCAGGATCTGAAACGGCACTTCAAGAAGAAAGTGATAGAAGGAGGCAGCCTGAAAGGCGCACACTACCTAGACATAGGACCCGCTGATCTTGCGAAGGCAGCTCGGAGTTACAGAGGCGACTCCAGGTTTCAGCAGTTTGCCAAAAGAATGGTGGCTGCCCGAACTTTAAGTCAAGAAGGGCCCAAACCCCTGACAGACGCTCTCGCAGCGTCGAGCAGTGGGGGCAACCCCCAGTCTTTCTTTTCTAAGTTTAAAGCTTGGTTCATGTGGGCCCTGGTCAAACTCAGGGGACGCGTATGGTGGAGCCTGTTGGTGATTTTTGTACTTAGTGTCTTTTTCACTAGGCCCCGCCTGTATTTGGTATTGAGGAAACTAGTCACGGTCAGCATTAAGTTGCTGATCCGCTATAGCATGGGTGCACTCTCGGTGCTCTTTGATGCTGTGCTCGATGAACTCTCATTTCAACTAGACTCAGCCGTGGGTATAGCTGCTGTTGAACCACAGACGCCGGTGCCCGTAGTGCACACCATGCCACCTCCCACTCAAGTACAGCCCCACAGTGATAGTTTCACCGCCCTTGCTTTGAATCTCGTTTGTATCATTCTTGGCTCAATTGTAAGTCCCTTACTCGGCCAACACTGGCCACGTGCTCAAGTGCCGCCCCGCAATCCGCCGCACTGATTGGAATCCTTTCGCACTGGTCGGTTGGGAAATGTTGGGATTTTTTGTGATGCAGTGATTAGACCTCATGTTGTTGTTCATAGACACTTGAAGGCCAGCTTTAGAGAACCATCAGCAGAGACACGATCGCTCAGTGCGTTGGCACCTCGCCAGCTCCAGATGTCAATTCTGATGACTACTACAAGATCCTTGGAGTTGTGCGAAGTGCCTCCGATAGACCTTGGCCATGAGGCCATCATCAAAGACAGGTGTGCCCCGCTGAAAAAGCAGCGGTGCGTCTCTGCAGATCCATGGGGTCAACATATATATATATATATATATTCTATTCATGTTGCTGAGAGTCGAGTCATTCCTGGCCCAGCACATCAGTGTCGTTCCGCTCGGTGTGGTGAAAAATCACTCATCCCCTGCTTGGGCGGGAAGGGCGTTGCTCTCGACTCCGCACGTCGGATGTTCCGACATGATGTTCTAATCCGTGCGACACTCCCTTGGTTGAAAGCCTCCCAAAGGAGATGCGACCGTACGACATCTCGCGACAGTTTGGCCAATTGTGATGCATCACCGTCGAGGGACAGCTGACTTCATAACATTAAGCATTCGATGTCAATATTGTCAAGCAAACATGGCCACACCTTTAGCAAATATATCCAGGGGCTCCTACTCTTGATAATATATGTGTTTAAGTTTAACTAGCACTACTTCTAGTAGTAGTTCCTCCCCTCCCTGATCTTTGCACATTGAAGCTCGCCACAAATGGCAGGTAATGCCCATGAGAGCCAAGCGGATGCTCGGCAGAACGGCGTGTCACTCCAGTCATTGGCCGCCGTCGATGAGGGCGGAGCAAGGCATCCACAATCATCCACAATTCCACTCATTATATATGGGTGTACTTTAGCAGGGAGACCCCAACGAAGGGGGGGTCTGGGTCTATTTCCCTATACACCGCATATATATATATCTTATAGTATAAATAACCTTTAAAGAAAATATATATATAAAAAAAACATATATCTCATATATATATAAAATAGATAGGTAGGTACATAGATGTTTGATAGCTGCTGAGGATGTAGGACCCTTTTTTTGACCGCCTCGGGGACATGTTTCATGACTCGAAAAAGCGCAGGGAGGGAGTTGACTTTCGGCACTGCGGCGCCTGCCAACAAGCCCAGCTTACGAGAATCGTGGAAACTGTAGACATACAACATGGGGTTAGCAAATTGTTTTTGTTAGGCAGAGCCTGCAGATGTGTCCATGCTTTTTGACATGCCCCGGTCCAAGTCCTTCTTTCAAACTGTTCGCGTTGCTGCTTGAGAGCATGAGGCCATCGATGGTCAACCGCATCATCTCCCTTCACCAGGAGGCAATCTACGAATACCGGAGACTGGAGTCCCCTGGTGCGCCAAAAAATGTCGGACGTGGGTGAGTGAAAAAGTTTTGTGCTGGAACCTGGGGGTTCGTGCCGCATCTTCTAGAAACACCCATGATTATCACAGCAAGGCCCTTGTTCACGTTCCGGCTCCTCCTATGGAATTTGCTCAGGTGTCGCCAACGACGACTTCCTTTGTCAGGTTTTTGAATGGTTTCGGGGGGTTACTCCGCTTCGGTGGAACTGTGGGTGACTCACCACAGTTCCTTGTTTGTTCGTCTACTTCTTGGACTTCCGGAAGCACGGTGGCAACGAAGTCCCGAAACGCTGAGGTTTGCCAATGCTGCAAGGAAGTTCGAGCAAGTGAATTCGATCTTGGCAGACATAAATGATGGGGAGGATGTGCCATCATCCTTGACTCTCAGCATTGTTGCACTGTTGCACAGAAAAACTGTATACAGTAGTACAGATCATGGTGTTGGAGTCAGTGTTGATGAGTGTAGTTGTGGCAAGCTCCTAACACACTATACCGTATACCATCCTTTTTTTTCACCAAGGATGGTCGAACGTTGCACGACGTTGACAAGAGTTCCGCCACCCCAAGATTGGGACGGCACTTGGGACTCTTATAGCTCTTATGCCGCTGGGCCCAAGGAGGAGGGCAGGATAACATACAGAGTCGGTATTATGCGTGAACCAAGAGACTGGTGCAGACTTCTAGGTGTTTGGCAGGGTGTGTTTGGTCCGACCCATGTGATGTCTTGTACATAAATTCTCCAGAAGAAGTTCATATCTTTCTTGTGTTTCTTGGCATGCTTTAACAAACTCAAGAGGTTGCTTCCTTGATTTCAGGTTGACTCTCTTGGAGGATGAAATGCTTCAACATGTAGGTGTTCTTCGGCCAGGCCCGAAGCTGCATGAAACCCACCTCGTGTTCTTCGGACCGGTGGAGCTCGGTGAATCCTTTCGGTTTTGGTGACGTCACATAGTATCACAAATCGAATAGAATAGAGAGAGCATGGGAGATGATGGGGATACTGTACTGCAGTGATTTAATCAATTGACGGATTGTTTGATGTGTTCTTTGTATAGCTTGCTAATTTTTTTGTGAATGTCTTTCTTGGCCATTCGAATGCTCGAATACACATTCCATATCAACAGCACTTTGAACGTCACTATCGTCACTGTTTTGGCTCCTTGCAGGTGAGATGTATTGAGTATTTAAAGCCGCGTGAGGCTTAGAGGCTCGTTCGCCTAACCGCTCTGAAGCAGTTTGACCCGACGATTTCCCAAAGTACAAGCTACTTGCTACTCGTAGTAATGCCCTTTGTTCCTAATTAGTAGCGATGCTCTTGTTACTAGCTTCTTGCTACCACAATTGGTCCCAGCCTTTGAGATTGGACACCGGATTTCCAACGAGTTGTTGTTTTAACGTTTTCCACTCTTGACATTTCACAGCTGTGAACCAATACCGATTGTGACCCATGCTTGCACCTTTGTTTGGGAATGTCCGTCATTCATTATACCGGTTCAGACGAATGCAAAAAGTTTGAAGGGCACACAGGCACACTGTTCTTAGTGGCTGGGCTGGAGCTGAGTGTCACTGACCCGAGACTTGGTTGAGAAACACCAGGAGCAAGCTGCCAAGTCCATGTGTGAGGCCTGTGAGGTTGAGTTCGTTCAGCTGGACCCAAACCGGTTGAGTATGGTTGAGTCTTTTCAGCTGTCAATTGCTTTCATGAGGCCCGTTCGCCTAGTTTGCCTAAGTTTCAAGGTTTGCTTCATTTAGACACAGTGTTCCGAAATGCTCAGCTTCAAGGTGATTCTCAGCCATTTGTAGATTTGCCATTTGTGTGTGCTACTCGGGTCGATTCCTCGGTTTTTTCGTGGGGCACCCAGTTTTCTGGGTTTCAACACCAGATATTGGAGACGAGCGAACATGTTCAGGTCAGAGTGAAGAGAAAGTACAGAAACTAGACTTGCCCGTCGCCCATCATGGCCCTTTCTTGGTCAAAAAGGGATTGGAGATCTAATGGAGCCCTAGACAATTTATTCGTAAAGCCAGAGGGCAATGGTAAATTGTTGGTAAAATGTTTCCAAAGATGTTTGAGATCATCAGCCATCACCAATAACATGCCAACATTCAGATCGTGACTACTGCCCCATTCAACCACACGGCCAGCTGATCTATCTTGGACTGACCGAGCTGAGGAACATCACTTTTCTATGATGACTTATGGCACTCCTCGTTTAACCAGTGTGAAGACCTTCGAACCACTCTGACCTAATGGCTGCACAAGCCAGCGACCCGTCAGAGCAGCGGGCAGAGCATGGCCGCGCAGGTTTCTCCCCACCTGGCGATGTGAACACATACGCTGGGTGTCTGGGAGTGGAGAGAAGAGTAGTGTGAAGAGTGTGTGGCTGCTTGGCTATTGGGTGAACCTCAACTTTTCCAGCGCCCACACTTGTCGGGAAAGTTCGACTTTCTCAGATAAATGACTCTGCGCAGGGCATAAGTCGCGAACGCCGTCCATGTGCAGAAAGGTCACTCAAGCTGGCAAAAGCGCTGCCAGAAGCATACAGAGAAAAGATGATCTAAAATGGGAAGGCTGCTTTTGGTTCTACTTGTTGCATCTTTTTGCAAAGAACTTCCAAAGACCATAGATGCGAACACTTCTGGGCGCTGAAGCTGGCCAAAGAGCTTCCAGAATCGCCTGGAGCAAAAAGGACGCGACATGACAGTCATACAGCGCATGTCATTTGTGCCAAAACAGGACTCTCACAGTCACATTCAGTCATTGAATCGAAGGACAAGTTCCGCGCTAGGCTTTGCGCTGCCCTAAACTACTGGAATTCTCATGCTCCTCTTATGCAACTCCCCACAGAACCATCAACCATGCCAGTACTTGGCTTTGCTTCATCATGACAACATAGACTCCGGTAGACTCGACGGGTCGAACCCCACCCGTTTGGATTCTGCAAGCATGGTGTAGTGCTGTATTCGTATCACTGAATGTCAGTTTTCACATGTTCTTAGCCTTTCCCGTCCAGTCGGTTGCATCGATATACGCTCCAGTATACGCTCCTTTCGGAATTCTATGCTTTCCCTACTTCGGCATTGGAGCACATATTGGAGCCATTGAATAAATGCACTGGTCCTGGCATTGGTTGATTCACCGACTGATTCTAAACATCCAAGTCCCTTCAGCAGCCTTCGTCACCGACTGGAGGTGACCGAACCGACCGGACGGGTCCTCCGGTCCGGAGCGCCATGGAGGGGGACCGAGATCTGGACGAGGAACATCGAGACCTGGGACAGGAAGCGGCATGGTCCTTGTCTTCGGCGAAGCAGGGCAACGGTGCCTTGGGCATCAAAAGCTCAAGCCTCAAAGGGGAATGGGCATCTTTTTCTAAGTGATTGTTATATCATATTGTAGTTAGTTATACATACATAATATAATATATAATTATTTCGATACGAACTGCTAGGTCCTGTAGTTTGCCTCCTTCCATGTGTAGTATGTGAGGCAGCGGGCAGAGAATCACAGGGCAATTCTGAATACTGGACCGTACTTACTGTACAAAGAGCATTCATGATATTCATGTTGGGCTGGAGCTATTTGTTCATGATGTGCAAACAAAACCATACAAAACCCAACAACCATCGGGTTTAGGGGTTCACTTTGCATCACATTTTGTCAGGGTTTCCACGATCTGAACAGTGGCATTTGAGCACCTGTCCTACGAGTAGATTTGGGGTCTGTCCACTACTGCTTGACATACTCGCATGGAAGTTTGTCAGGATTTGCTAGATTCACAAAGGATTTCCGCAACTTGATGTCAGCTTTGTTTCAAGCGAGTGGCGCCACCAGTATCACCGCTTGCCCTCCCGCATGCGACGCAGAGATTTTGGGACTTTGCCGAGATCGCAGGTGTTGAACAGCTCAGGGATGGCAGCACTGAGAGCTTTTGGCAATCAGATGGCCCTCAGCAACATGGCTGAAATCGCCGGCCCAGAGTCAATGAACTGGTTCTCAGAGACTCGAACTGAGGACGATTGACAGGTGCACAGTTTTCTGACATATATAGCAATGCGTATCAATTTCTATGGTTTGTATCAGGTCTTCTCGACCTGCCCACTGTGTGAGTCCATGGTTGAAGCTCTATGTTGAGCAACATGTTTGAAAATCTTTAGCTTCAAAAGCTCAGAGGATACAGCAGGTTCCAGTCAGAATTTGGACAAGAATTGGGCGGTCCGTTGGTTCTTGCATAACAACATGTCGCAGTCATCATCCTGTACTCAGGTAGTTTGAGCTGGGCATGTGCTTTGCAAACTCATGACATCAGAATCAGAAAGCTTTGGAACGTTAAATATATGTATATATAGAATATATATACACACTAGACAAACAAGTTTCTAGGACAAGTGCCATTTGAGCTGAGGCCCCACCTGATCAACATCCAGTTTCAACGGAAGGTGTCGGTGGGATTGTTGGGACGACCCGTGGCTGCCACATGGCCAGCTTTGCTGCTGCAGCTCAACCTTCAGTCGTAGCTCCTGTTAGCATCCACGGATGGCAGGACTATATTGATGTTTGTTTAAACGTCGCCTTGCTGTAACAAGGACGCTACTAGGTGGAGGCCATCGCTATTAGGTTGGAGGCCATTACTCCTAGTAACAAGGACGCTACTAGGTGGAGGCCATCAAAACTTCAAGTGGTTTTTGGCTCAGCGTGGCAGGTGAAGGTCAGTGAAATTTGCCTTTTCGTTTGCTTCAAGATCGACGAGCCCCGCGACCAAACTGAGTGGATTTTACAACAAGCGACGCGCAGACAGAATCCAGCATGTTCGTGTCGGTTGAATTGCTGTGGGGAGATTGCAACAGAGACGCGGAGAATCCCCTTCGACCCCCCAGAATGCCCCAAGTGTGTTGTTTCTATTCGGGGGCAACGTGGAGCGCATGTTGCAGTATGGCCGCAAAGAAGACATCGACCATGTGCACCTAGCCACCCTCATGTGCCTCCTGTTGCACAAATGAGTCAGCTCAGCGGATCTTGAACAAAAGCCGTTTCTGACCAAAAAGAGATTGTTTCAGCTTCCAGTTTGTCCCTTGGAGTCCCATGGTTGTGATTGAGCGACCTATCTTGGTCTCTTCATTTTCTCCCCCATACTTCGGTGTGGGCGACCTCCGGTCCGCCCTGAGGTCCTACACGCCCTCGCGCATCTCCATTCGCATCGGGACGGCTCACCATGACCTACAAGAGGCGCCCGCGGTCGTCGCGGCGACGGAAGCCGAAGCCCGTCGTGGCGTCGTGGCGTCCCGCTGAAGCCGCGTCGTACGTCCCGGCAACCGATGAACATGCGCCACCGATCAAAAGGTCGAAATAAGGCCTAGGTTCATTGAGAGCCTTTCATGTTGTTTGCATGTTGCAAAAGTATTTGTTCGAGTCTGCGAATGCACTACTGTATTTATTTTGCGAAAGATCTGCGAAAGATGAGATACATGTGGAGACAGAAGACTTCTGAGATATGCCCCCCGCGAAAGTGACACATGCAGTTCGCGAAAGATTCGCGAACATTATGTATTTTTTGCGCGAAGAATGGCGTTTTCGTAAGGAGTTTACATGAAATTACAATTCAAATTATTAAGTCATTACGATTATTCGTTCATTCCTTCATTCCTTCGTTCATGTCTTAATCCGCATTGGTTCGTTCCTTCGTTCATTCAATGAATCTTTGCATAATCTTCCTGAGAGGAACAGAATTCAAATAGCAAAAATGAACGCACTCGCTGAGGTTAGTTTAGGGAGCTGCGGCATATCATCATCGGTGGGACGTTCGATTAGCCACGTTACCAAACAATGCGCGTGAGTCTTGTTTTGCAGCATCAAACATTACCAGGAAAGAGACAAAAAAGACTGGAATTAATCATTGGAGAACACAACACCCAATTTGGTCGTATTGAGGGCCCCCCCTGTTACCCCGCTTTGAATCTTTGTGGCTTTCATACCACTTCTGTCCGCGAAGACCGACTGGTCGAAGACTGCGCACAGGTGCAGTTGTTGGAGCTGAAAGAGCCTGATGGCTACGTGGTCGAAACTTTTGTGAAAATAGCTGTGCAAGAGGGGCTTTAGCGGTTTCTGAATCGGGCTTACAGCGCTGCATATCACCTGCTTGAGGCCTTTCGAAGTAGCTTCTCTTGGGTTGATGTGAGGTCCTGTGATTTCGGACTGTACTCCCTACCAGAATTCTATCCATTTGGCTAGGTGAGCGCTCCACCCTGCCATACCTGGCCTGCAGTAGACGCATGTCCCAGCAACTCCACCTGAAGTAGAAGCCCGCTTCCAGCGGCTCCACCTGAAGGATCCGCTGTCCCCACCCCTCAAAAGTGTCCGGTGGGTCCCAATAGCGGGCGCATCACATGCTGCCGCCTACAGGTTGGATCAACGTGCCCTTGGCAAAGCCTCGAATTCGCGAGGTCGTCCCTTGGCTTAGAACATCCCATACTGACTTGTGGTTGTTGCACCATGGATTTGGTTGGATGAATCATGGTGTTTCGCCCCACAAAACCGGCACCTGCCATCACTTCCTGCGCGATGCGCAGCTTCACTCGCAGGAGTTGCCTTCCAGCTGCACCCTGCGAGACCCGGAGATGGGTGGTGCCGTCGACTTCGTCCGAACGCACTTGATCCAGCGACTTGGAGTAGATGTTTCGAGTCATAGCTATGGGGAATTAAGATGCGGCGATGCTCCTCGCAGCTTAGCTAAGGCTGGCCATTCTGACCAATCATCAGTGTCTCGGTTGAAATCTTGCGATGTCTTTTCCCAGAAACAGTGTTCTCGGTGCGAGTGCAGCTGACAGCAACGGTTGGCCTTTCGTCGTGAGGCCATAGCGCCATGTTCCAACATCATGCAACGTGTAAGGAATGGAAGAGATACCCACATCCGCCAGATCAAGGCACATGGCTGGCTTAAAAACTGGTGGAGTCTTCATGATGCTTGTGCCAAGAGTTTAGCTGCTGCCCTGCCATAGACAGAACTTTCAGCGTTTAAAGAAACGGTCCCTTGGGTTTGAATGGTCAATCACCGGCACCGGCACTGCACCATGAAAGGCACCCATGACAGCGAATCGCAGAGTGTTTCTTCTCCAACCTAATAGCATCTAATAGCGATGGCCTCTCTCCTAGTAGCGATGACCTCCAACCTAATAGCGATGGCCTCCTATGAACCTTGCCTTTGAGCAAAACAACGATGTCCGGTGTGGTTTGATTTTGCTGCAAGTAATGTCATACAGAGCCCCTTTCCAAGCAATAAAGTGTACATAATCACAGACATTGTTCAAGGATGTTGATTGAATATGATTGAATGACGGAAAACACTAGCCAATTTGATTGGAGCACATGTCCAGCCTTCGAAATGGGCTGCGCGATGACGTAACTCGTGACGTAACTCGTTCTTTCGATCAGGTCCACGGCCCGCGGCGCTTGCGAGGAAACGATGGCCCCGAGGAGGGGACTAGGGGAATGTTAGGCAAGGAGAAGCTGCTATAATGTAGACTCTTGATGAATAAACCACCAGCTTTTTCTTCAATACCTCCATCTAGAAGACCATCTAGAAGGCCTATACCTCCATCTAGAAGGCCTAGTTGTGGGTTTGTAATGGTTTGTAGGTA